AGAGATCAACCATCCTCTGGTTCACTCCCCAAATGGCTAGAGCTGGGCCAGACCAAAGCTGAGAGCCAAGAACTTCTTGGTCCTACATGCATGCAGGGTCCTGAGAATTTGGGCCTTCTGCTTTCCCAGACCATTAGCAGGGAGCTGAATTGAAAGTGGAGCAGCAGAGGATTAGCCTTCTGCAGTGGTGTGCTGGTCCTGAACTGAAATTTTGTTGGAGATTTCTTTTAAAAATTCAGTTTTTGTTTGAAAGGTGGAGTCCCACTGACAGTGGGAGAGGGAAGGAGCCAGGTCTTCCATCCACTGGTTCATCCATCAGAAGACCAAGTGGCTGCGCTGGGCCAGGGAGAGCTGAAGAGCTGGAAGCTTCATCCCAGTCTTCTGTATGGGTGCAGGGTTCCATGGACTTGGACCATCTTCCTCTGCTTTGTCAGGAACATCAGTAAGGAGCTAGATCAACAAACATGTGTCCATGTGAGAGGCCAACATTTCAGGTGGTGGCTTAACTTTCTACATCATGATACTGGCCCTGAAACGTTTTTTCTTGTAGAATATCAGTACCTTTGTGCTTTCCTTTTTTTGTTGTTCGTAAATAAGTCATGCTTGAGGAATAAATATTTCTACTCAATTGTTACATCTGTTACAACCTGCTTATATCAAATATGCGGTGATGGTTGGTCTGTTGTCTAACAGCAACAAGAGCAGAAATCTCTTTTTTTGTGTGTGCTTTAGTCTGAAGTGTGAATAATTTTTCCAGTCAACAGCCCTCTATAGGGATTCTTGAAATGCTTTTACCCATTGCTTGTGCTTTTTGAGGGGTGGGAAAGAATAACTAACCCTCTGCTCAATTTTAATAATGAGAGAAAAGCAAGTAAAAACTCTTTGTTAGAAATAAATTATGTAATTTACAAAGCATGTTGTTTGCATGCAAATTGAAATCTATTGGGGGGGTGGTATTTCAAACCAAGAGGCAAACTTACTTAGAGAGATGACACAACCATTTGGTCCATGTTAAAATAGCTATATGGCTCCTTTATTTATACATGATTTTTTTAAAAATCTATTTGGTCTAGACATTGATAAAAATACTAAGGGAGTTTAATGTAAATGTTTTATGTTGAAAATGCACACATTAAAATCAAAGTTATCTGTGTAACCTCTTTTAAATTAAAGGATGTTAACTTTTATTATGAACAAAAGGAAGAGAGTGAAAGAGACAGAGAGAGAGAAGGAGAAAGAGAGTAAGAGAGAAAGAGAGGTTTTGCCTTCTGTTGATTCATACTTCATATAACCACAACAGCCAATGCAAGGATGGGCTAAATTCGAATTCCTTGGACTCCATCTTTGTGTCCCACTGTGGTGGTGGGACCCAAGCACTTGATGCATCATCATCTGTTGTGTTGAAGGATGCATTAACAAGAAGCTGTGTTGGAAGCACCTTAGTTAACAGACATTCCATTGTTAAATACAGACATCCAAAACGGGAGTTTAGCTTGCTGCCCAACTTCCTTTAATTATTTTTCTTCAAATAAAATGAGTACTACCGTGAAACCAGGGCACCAGGCTAGAAACATAATGTCTCACATCTTATTTATGTGCTAGGATAGCACTAACAGAGAACTGGAATAGGATTAATTTTTGACAAATGGCATCATAAAGTATTTATGTATCTTGCTTCTTTCCTTTGATATCTGATTTGTAAAACTTGCTCATCGTTTTTTGCACATTCTTGGAATTCACTCATTTTATTGTTATATATATATTTAATTTTATAAATATACTCCTATGTGTTTTCCCCTGCTCCTGTATGCAGACACTTGAGTGCACCTATGGCGTTATTTGGAATAGTGATTCTCTGAGATTTATGATGCTTTATCCTTTCATTGACAGTTGGAGAGAGTTCCAGTATTTGCTCCACATACTTGTAAACACTTGATATCAAGTATCTTTTTCTTTAGACAGTTCCTGTGTGCATGTAATGCAGTTGCATTGTGGCTCTTCTTAACCTTACAGAAATAGAGAAGAGTAATTGAATTATCAAGTTATGTTCCATCTGAATTATTTTAAATGCTATAATTTGGGGGCATTTTTCCTTATTTAAATAACACATAAAATAATGATTTTGAAATGCTCAGTGAGAGGATAGCTGGGAAGCAGATTTGTGTTTGATGGTCATTTTGTCCAAGTATATATAATCATTTAACTATGTTCTTAATTCTGCTGGTTAAGAACCAACAAAGATGTAAGCAGTGCCTTAGAATAACATGAAAGAATGACTTTCCACCTTAGAAGTACGTTTCCTGGTCCCGAAGTAAGCCAGAATGTGAGCCAATTAATAGATTAATTTAAATGAAGACCCAAGTTTTGGTTTCCATTGTCTGTAGTATGTTTGCTTTTCTAGGAAAACATAGGAAAACCACAGGGCAGCTGTGAATTATCTCTTACTTTGCCAACACCTGTTTTTTATTGTGTGGGTGATGACATTTGATGGTTTGCTGAGAACATTTTCTTCAGCAAATCATACATTTTTTAAAAAAATCAACAGTAAAGTCCTTAAAAAGTAATTAGAACAGAAAACAACGCTATACTGAATCAATTGCATCCTGATTTATATCGGTTGTTTCCTGCATTTCTGTGAATAGTCCTTGAGTGGTTGTGTTTTGCAGTACTGATTCCTTGTATTCAATTCTTTTCTATGCGTTGAATAGTATTGACACTTTAATGTTATTTGACCTATTCTATTCCATGATTTCTAATGCATAGAATTATAAAAAAATTAGCATACTTGGGTCTGAGGTTTTCTTCCTAGGGAGATTTTGCAAGAAAATTGTAATAAAGGAAACTTTGACAGAAATATGGAGTGAAGGCTGAATAAGGCTGGAAGGTTTCTTGGCTGTGAGGAAGTCTCATCAAGAGGAAAGGAGAGAAGAAGGTCCTGTGGACGCTTTCAAATGCAATGTGCTTCTCAAAGAGGATTAAATGAAAGCTTCAGGGAATCTTGAATCAGAGTTGGCCATTGGAAAAGGCTTATATTCCCCGACAATTGGCCTTCTTTAGCAAACTTGCTACACCATCACTGAACGTGGATGCAGATGCCGAAAGAGATTTTCATGTGAAGCAGCAAGTGATTTTAGTCAGTTAAGCTTTGTGTTTTGTGGTCGATTTGATTCATACTTATGTTCATGAATGGTTATCTTGAGGATGATTTGACAAACTTCAAGAAAGGTGAACAAAAACAGTCTCAGGGTTGTGCATTTATTCATGTATCCATATTATTCATCATTTCAACCTCAACAAACTAATAAAGGAACCAACTCTATAATCTAGTAATAGTATTGATAAAGAATAACGTAACTGTGCAATAGAGGAGTTAAGGGATCCTCCCAGAATATTACTGTAAGATGTAAATGCTCATTTTGTTAATATTCTTGCTAAAATATCTCTGAGAACATTCAGTATTTAACAGTTCTATTTATATTGTTTATCTTTAATAAGGAATTGCTCAGTGGAAAATATCAAGTCTAGAGAATGGAGTCTTTCCAATAGACCTATCTCTTACTTCCTCTCACTTGCACTATCTGCCTTGCAAATAGGGGCTTATCTAGGTGAGCATTTAGCTTAAATGTTGTCACCTGGCTTTGTCCCACATCAGTGTCTGAGTTTGGTTTCTGGTTCTAGATCCTTATTCCAGCTTCTTGCTAATAAGAACCCTAACAGACAGCAGGTAAGTCACATACTTGAGTTTGTGTTGCTTGTAGGAGACCCGGATTATGTTCTTGGTCTTTGGGCAAGTCCTGGTGGTTAAGGAATGAGATAGTTGTTCTTCCCTGTATAGCCTTTGCCATTTCCCCTCCTGAGATGTGGTCTTTTACCCTGAATTGCTTGACTTATGTCCATATAGAAATGAAATTTAAAGATAAGAATTGAGTCTTAGGTCTGGCATGGTAGCCTAGTGGCTAGAGTCTTTGTCGGATCCCATATGCGTGCTGGTTCATGCCCTGGCTATTCCACTTCCTTCCAGCTTTCTGCTCGTGGCCTGGGAAGGCAGTCGAGAACAGCCAAATTCCTTAGGATCCTGAACCCATGTGGGAGATGCAGAGGGAACTCCTGGCTGCTGGTTTTGGATTGGCTCAGTTCCAGCAGTGGTGGCCACTTGGGGAGTGAACCAGTGGATGGAAAATCTCTTTCTCTCCTTCTCTCTGTAAATCTGTGATTCCAATAAAAATAAATAAAGCTTTTTAAAGGAGAATTGAGTCTTATGTCTTCTCATAATTCTAGTCATCTAGTGTGTGACTTTTAATATAAAATCTTTCTGATTTTTAAGTTTAATTATTTACAGAATAGTGTATTGGCATTATATGATTTTCACTTGGGGTATATTGCATACTTTAAATGCTTTTCATTTTCAGTGAAAGAACTCAATAAATAGCATAATTTACTAGATCATTGTTTTGGTGAATTTCAGTGAATTTCATGTTTTTCTAAGATTTTGCAGATGTTAGATGTTTATAAAGTTAGTGCTTTTGAGTTGCATAGTTTTTAATATTGTTTATAATGTTGACCTATTAAGGTGATTGTATATTAAGTTGAATGTACAGTTTTTATACACATAAACATAAAGCTCATATTTGAAAAATATTACTGGGACTCATCTGTGTACTTGTATTGCATGAAATGAAGTAATTTACCCAGAATGCTTTAAAGCATTTGTGCAGTTAGTTAAAATTGGGAACAACGTGAGATATGTTTCATTTTTTTTGTGGTCACTGGTAAATTGTATTAAAAATGAAGAAATTTTGGTTGAGCCTTCTGAAAGAAAATGCGACATAGTATTATTGGCTGAAAATCATTACGTATCTGTCAGTGTATGAGCCAAGCAGACACAGTTAGTGTGTGATCTTACAGGAAGACATGCTAAGCTGAAATCTGCTCGGGTAGTTGTGACACATAAGGTTCTGACCAGGGGACTAAGTCATCTCTCTCATTTTATATTTTGTTAGCTACACTCAGCGTGTGGTTGGAAATGGAATCAGAGCCCAGGCTGGAAACCCTGAAGTCAGAGTCAAGGGAACTGATCCTGTGATACATCAGATTATTGATAAACTGAAGCATATTATTCAGGTAAGTGCAATTCCCACCCTTCCCGGTGTGGGAAGTTCCTTTCTACTATCATTCTGGTACCTGGTGTTAATCCTACATGACAGTCCTATCTAAGACTGGATGTTGGAGTAAATTATGGATCCTGGGGTTTTGGAAATGTTAGGTGATTTTCCTATAGTTGATACAAACTATCATTTTAAGGGGTGAGCAATCTACCTGTGAAGAGCAAACCACCACTTTAGTATTTCAGTAATGGAGAATTTTTGCTTATATTTTGTTCGCAGTGCATAAACTTTGTACTTGGGAACTACTTGTGACCTATCGGTAATATATAGAATATGCAAAAATTATCATCCACATGGTATTGGAACTTTGCTATGAAAATTTTTCCTGCGTTTCCAAGTCACAAATGAGTAACACACATTCTAATATTTATTTAATCAATTTGAACATTATTATATCATTTATCTAATGTTTGTTTATGAAATATTTCTGCTTAACTTTTTATGAGTAATTAATATAACAGGTAGATACTAACCTTCTTAATACATGATCAATGAACTAAGAAATTACCTATTAAATAATACTTCGTTGAAATGCTTTATTAATTGGGACCAAATATTACGCTACAAGTTGTAAATGTTGCCTTCAATTTTGTGTCTGTTGGATTTGGGGTTAGAAGGGCCATTTTAATATTATTCATCTATAGCACTTTATCTGTCTATATTTTCAATGTTTTCTAAGAAAAAAATTTATGGTATTTGAATTTTAATATTCATGTGTGTCATGAGCAATAATTAAACATGTTGATTTCTTATTATTTCTATTTTTTAAAATTTATATTATGTGAACATATCATGTATTTCACACTGTAGCTTTAGGTGCATCGTTCTCCACTTCACTCTGTCCTCCCTCCTGCCCCAGGTCCTACCAAACCTCCCCCTGCTTAATTAAAAAAAAAATCACGATATTCTGTCAGTTCACTCACAAATGTAGGCCTTGTGATCTATTAGGCAACAAATTCAACAAATAAGAAGCAAAAAAAAAAAATCACTGTTCCTGAAGATTATGGACAAAAGCTGCAAACAAGTTTCAAATCTGGTAGTAATGGTGTTGTGCTTGTCTTTGTGTTCCATAGTCAGTGTTACATCTGTCATAACTGTTCTATGCAGTTTAAGTTTATGCCGTTTATTCTTAGGATTCCATTGCAACATAATTTCCCTTGTGTATTAAGAGAGTGGTATCTAAGAAGAACTTGGAGACTACTGTCCAAAACCCTAGATTTCTTTCTAGTCAGAGGTGATTATGGTCGTTCTCTTTATTCTGTTATTAGGAAAACAGTTCTATTATTGTAGCAGAATTTAAAATAAGTTCTGAGAAAAGTGTAAGAAGTGCTGTCACAACCTCTACTGAGTTAAATTATTTAAAGAGAAATCTCAATGGCACATTCCCTCAGTAAGTTTCTTATGTCATATCCTGTGGTCCAAGTGCTGAGGAAAATTCTTACAACTGCATGGTCTTGTGATCAGCTGAAGTGATAATAGCAGGGTGGGTCAGAAGTGAGCTGTGGAGACTGGGACAGAACAACGAGCATTGTGGGCCACGCCTGACATGCTGGAAGCCATGGCATTAAGTCTGCCTGTGTTCACAGGAAGGGGACTCATTCTTCTCCAAGTTTTCTTTTAGTTGGAGTTCTGTATGTGTATAATAAGGAAAACAAAGAATAGTTCTGCATAAGATAGAACCAGATTCAGTAGAAACTTACTAGAAATTGAGCACAACATAGGATATAACTTCAGTTGTTCCAGTATGTCAATAAATAATCTTTTGGAAACAGATATACAAGTAAACTTGATTTCTAGTCCTTGCTAAATGTTTTAGTTGCAGTTCCGCAGGAACGGAACTTTGAGGCAGAGATTTGTGTGCAGAAGTTATGTGGCTAAGTGCCTTGCCATCAGGAAACAATGATTGAGTAGCGTTATGCAATAGAAGCAGAACTGTATTGAGGTTTATCAGAACCCTCAGTGAGCCCAGCAGGAACTCTGGGGCCAGGTGGGTCCTTTTAAGATTATCTTGAGATGAGATCAGGAGCATTCCCTTTAACTGATGCAGCACTGGTCGACTTCTGCAAGGGTAGGGGTGCAGTGACATTAATTCAGTTTTAAGTTAGTAACTTCCAGTGCTACTACTTTAAGCTTGAGGAGTGATTGTGTTCGTATAGCAGCATCTCTTAATATCTATTATAATATCATATGCATGTGCCCAGTATTTGAAATCTAGTGTACACTTGCACACTGTAGTATTAATCAGCTCCACTTGTGGTATAACAATTTCTAGTATATTCCAGAACGGCTTAAGCATTACGGAGCCAGTTCATAAGATTATCTCCTGAGTGAAGAAAAGAAAGTACAGCTTCAGTGTATTTATTTTCATTCTTTAATTTTATTGTAGTCATATATGTAAAATATGCAGTATATTATTACAATAACACATGTTCACAGTTTCTAAATATGTAAATTGCATATCAAATGGATATGCATTTTTTTAAATGTATGTGTCATTGTTGGATGTACAAAATCCCTGATATACTTGAGGTGGATAGAGCTATTATATAGAAAGGGATATAGAAGTGTGAGAAAAATTCATGAAAGAATACATACATCTCCAAGATATAAAATATATTAAGAGGAGGGTTCGTTGATTTGCATAACATCTCCCCTGGTTGCTTCATAGCTGTCAAAGCTACATGCTCTTCAAGGTTGCCGGAGGAAGCAGTCCTACTGGTTTTTTTGCTTCTGCATTGAGTCCTTTCCTTCATCTTTATATTAATGTGTAGATCTCCAATTATTCATGCTTAAGTTTCATTATAAGACTACGAGAGAATATCAAACACAATGCGCACTTTGAGGTTTGTCCTTTTAAAGTCTACTGGGCTGATATGATTGAAATTGAGACTTTTTTATAGAGAATAGCAAAAAGTGATTTCTCATCCAGGTGTCACTAGAATATTCACCTTCAAAGTCATAGAACGCTGTCTTTTATAAACTGTCTCTCCTGGAAAAGAAGAGATAGTTTTCGTTTGCCAGATTTCTTACATGCTGACAGCGTGTGAGTGTGTCCTGGCAGGGGTATCGGCTGTGTGCAGCATCAAGGGGAAGCTATAAAATGCTTCAGGAATTCTCTTCTGTGGTGAGAGCTTATTCATTTCGGTGTGGGCAGACAAAAGGAGGAAGTAGATTTAAGAGGGTATTTTAGATATTAAATGTGTAGCTTTTGATGATCTCTTACCAGTATATGGATAAAATTTAAGCTTTTTATTGCAGTGGCTACAAAAGTACTTCTTAACTGTGTACTGTGAAACAAATCATCACTTATCACAGGGCTAATTTTTCTTTTTCCTGATTTTGCATAATAACCACTAGAAGATTAACTATCCATTTTTATTTATTGATGAAAATATCAACACAGCTTTTGAGTGGTGGAATCTTTCTCTTCAGGTTCTGGTGCTGATCTGACCTCATTTTCTGATGTGTGGCCTCTGCAGTTAGATTTATTGAACAAATGAGGAAGGATTTTAATTCTTATGTGTCCTAATTATCACTTATTAAACATGCTCAGCAACTATTTATTGAAATCATAGTATGCTACTCTTCAGCATGGGTCTGGGGAGTGCCAGTATGGACTGGGTCTGGGGAGTGCCAGACTCTGCTAGAGTCCAGCACCCACTGGTCCTCATGAGAGCCAGGATGGATATAGAACAGACTGGGCTGGGTCTCGGCTCATGCTGAACCATGTGAGAGCTATGTCTGGGGATGGACCAGGTGTGGCTGGGCTGTAACACCCTACATTAAGAACCAGGAAGGGTGTGGGCCAGTTGGATAAGGATACAGTTTTTGCCAGAAAAAGAAGTAGACAAAGTCAGCCTGGGTTAAGGACTCACTGGTATGTGCAAGATCTGACACTGGAAGTAGATCTGATAGAGGAGCTTGGGAAACTCCATTGTCAGGATGCAGTCCCTGCAAGTGCATGCAAGAACCAAGTGAAAGAACAGCCCAGACTGTGCCAGGTTGCATTACCTGGCAGCATACATGTGGGTCAAGTCTGAGGGTAGGCCAGGATGAGTCAGTACATAACATCCACTGGCAGATCTGAGAATTGCGAGGTGCAGGACAGGCTGAATTGGGCTGCTATACCAGCAGTCCACCTTAAGGCCGGGACTGGAGTTTGGTTGGACTGGACTGGGTTGTAACACCGACCAACAGGAGCTGGAACTGGGGACAGGCTGGATAGAGCCAGGTTGAAGAACCTGCTGCTGAATGCCAAGATGAGGCAAACTATACTAGTTTGAGCGCAAAGGGTGCCAGGTCTGTGAGCCCTGGGGAAAGGGGGTCCATCAGGACCCAGGTCACCTGACCTGTGCTCTTGGGCCCACTTGTGAAAACTCATCCTCCTCAGTGGAAAAGGTTTTGCAGTGGATGGAATGTAAGGATATATATGAAGGAAGTAGCAGTCCATTGGGGCCTACAGAGGACACGTCTGGTATCATAGCGGAGGAAGAACAGAGCAAATTAAACAATTATCCCAGTCAAATGATGATGGCAAAAGTCTGGGTGAGTGGAGACTCTGCCTGTGGCAGCCCATGGATATTGGAAGTGTACCCTCATCCTTGATCAACGAGATTAATAGCATTTCAGAACTATTGAAAAAACTTGGGCAGAATCCTCGGAGTATGCGCCACATAGGGCCCTGGATTGATATCAGGAGGCTGTTCCCATCCCCGAGTACTGAGGCAGGTGGGAGGCTGAGTTTGGCTTCTCCCCTTATGTCCTCCCTTCCTCCAGATACAGGAAGAAGAAATGGAAAAATTGGGAGCAATAATTACACTCACTTTTCCCTAACCCTCGATCCTTCCCATCCTGATCAACAATAAAAACACCATCAAAAATAGAAATTTATGAAAAGTACATATGGCAAAAATCAATGACCAATGCACAGATTTAATTAAAAGTGTTATGTAATGT